AAGGCAACATTCATCCAGAAGAGGCCAACCTTGATCAACAGAGGCCGAAGAGTGTTCCATTAGGACAACGCCAACCACACACGTCTTTGGTGACGCGCCAGAAGTCCCAGAAGCTCGGATGGAAGGTCCTAATGTGCCCACCTTATAGTCCGGACCTGGCACCAAATGATCACCATCTTTTTCTGTCCAAAGCGAACGCGCTTAATGGTGAGAATTTGGCTCTCCGAGTTTTTTTGTCAATAGGGACGCAACCTTCTACGAGGGGGGTACAACTAAGTCAGTTATCATATTTTGAAAAATCAGTAAAAAACCGAGCGAACTTTTTACTTGACCTAATTATACTTGCTCATGTTCTATATATGAAAAGGCTTTCCTCTAAAGAGTTTCTAGGTAGAGCATTTATGAGAATTGATCGCTTAATAACCGCCAAACGCGTTAAAGTTATTAAATCCAACTACAAAAATGGTGGAGATTATATATTATGGAATTATCCAACTAAATTTTAAATAAATTTGAAGAGACTAGAGACAGATATTGTAAGCCCAGAGTATTGTTGTTTTGCTTCTTCTACCTCAAATATCGCTATTGCAGCCGAAGATCCGACGTTCCCAAGAGCTGGGGCTTTCTTACGTCACATTATGGGGTTTTATGCACTTTGACCTGCGAGGGGATTAACAAACGTGGGGTAAGTTGACCAGTAAAATATAAAGAAAAATCGTTTGTTTACTTATTAGTAATCCTTGCTCTTTTTTATCTTCTCAAGACTGGATCGGTAAGTTGACCAGAAAAATAAGAAAAAAAATTGTTTTTGTATTTATTCGTAATCTTTGTCCTTCTTTATCTTCTCTGCAAAATCGCCTTTGGTTCCAATGCATTCTTAAGCCTGCGGATCCACTTCTGAAAAGACTTTAAAATCTTGCTCTTTAAGCTTTTCAAGTTCAGCATTGACCGTATTAATAATCTCCTAGTTGCTGTTGCCTTTACCGTTCCTTTTAATTTTTTTTTTAATTTTTGAAATAACCAGATATTACAAGATGCTCTATCCGAGGAATATGGTAAGAGGCCATTACACAAAAAAAAAAAAAAAAAATCCCACAATCTGGTGCGACTTTGTTCCGGAGGTTACTTCTTTTAAAACTTGCACAATATGTGCTTTCAACAAGATGGTGCCACATGCCACACTCGGTTGCGTAATCTCCCATCTCGGCATTGTCAATTGACCACCGAGATCGTGAAATTTGACACCGTTGGACTTTTGTTTGTAGTACTATGGGAATGACCGTGCTGATGCGGGTCAATCATTAACTCTTGAGCACCTGAATCCCAACAAGTTATGGCTGAGTTACCGAAAATTACCTTAAACCGATCGCAGTTTGCGAAAATTCTTAAGGGGGTCATTTAAATGATGTGGTGTTTCACCAAGTTCAAACTTTAAAATAATAAAGGAAGTTCATGAAAAAATTATTTTTATTATTTTTGTATTTATTTTAATAAAAAAATATGTCAAACAAATTTTTGTTCCTACATTTTTGGTCCGCAAAACGTGTAAATCACTGTCTCATATGTCTAAAATAGCAACTGAACTAAATCTACAGCGAATTCTGCTTGCATTTCACTTCCCGGCAAACTTTTCAAGATTGTCAGTTGCAACACGCGAAAGAGTATATGTTGTACATTTCTATTTTGTCCCCCCCCAGCACTGCCCGAGTTCCAACTATAAGTTTTGCTACATTGACAGCTCGAATTGTCACAAAAGCAACGCGGATTCCACACTTTCTGGTGACAAGGGGAAAAAGTTTCGCTGAGAGTCAATAAACATTTATAAGTAGAATCAAATTTTGTGTGCAAAATGTGGAAATTTACGTAACAGAGGCACATGCTTTGCTTTACTCTTTAAGGAAAAGCGCAACTGAAGAAGCTCCCAAAGGTAGGTATTGCATTCTAATGTTTGGCTGTTTGGCGCCATTTGGAAATATCAAGTAAAATCAGTTCGTTATCCAAATCTTTCTTCTTCTTGTACTTTCAGAGCTGGAGTGCTCTCATCCATCCATATGACTCCGCGTAGCCAAAGAACCATACATCTTTCGCACTTATTTTCCCTCAAAGATGACCAAGGTCGACTCGTCGGATATCTACAATGTTCATGACGCTGCATTATTTAACAGGGCTTAAAATTGTAGAAATCACATGATAAATCCTGTCTTCCTGTGTAAAATTTCGTTTTGTATAGAAGTGTCAGGAGCAGTACTCCCAATTCAAACTGTACTCCAGGTATTGTTCAACATCTTTTCCACAGCCGCAAAACTTTTGCACGGATACCAATTGTTATTCTGTCGAAGGCAGCTGTAAAAGCGATGAAAAGTTGAGGAGTATGAAGGATGTTCTCCAAGATTTATTGCCTGGTGAATATACAAGGCTTAAAGCTACACGGAAGGTTCAATTAGTTGGTTCAAGATGGGCTTTTTAGCTTAGACTTTCACACAAAACGCTGAAAAGGATCTTATATGCGCCTCGATAATTGACGTAGACCTTGGGGTCCTCCTTTTCATGGTTTTGGCAGAGAAAACTTAAATTTCAATTGTCGGGTAAAGAAACGTCTTTGCCATCATCATTGGTGGGGGTCTCGGGTTTACTATCTCTTTAGGAGGCTGGTGAGTTGTCTCCATCATACACCAAAGATGCTCTAAACATCGATCACAAGGTTCCTACATGATTATGCTTCGGTCTGGAAACCTTCTACGATGCGTTACCCTTGCCGGCAAGCCTCACAAATTCTTCATACCCACGCAATTTGTTTTTTCTTTTTTTGTTTGCATTTTCTTCTTGCTTTCCTCTTCAGCTCGCGGTATCTTTCCCAGCTCGCACGTGTTATAGTCGATCGAAACATAGCGAGACAGGCAGTATGTTTTTGGTCCACTGCACATTCCTCATAGTACCAGCTTTTTTTCAGGCTCTCAGTGACAGAAAATATGAAAGAGAAGGCATTCGGTATAGGCGGCTCCTCACTCAACCCTTCTAAGTTGTAGCTGCTTAGATTACTCAAAACACAGCAAGAAAAGTTTAAGAGCGGCATGTCTACCGCAAAAGAGACCCAACTGCTATGAAGCTGTCAAGGCAATTGAGACACTCCTTGATACACGATAAAAAGTAAAATTGGTAGGAAACCCTATATGACTCGCGACTACTAGGATAATTGAACGCACGATGTCAACTCTGTCAAGTAATGAAGAAGGGAAATGCCAACTTCGCCTCGAGTTTAAAAGTCTATTTGCGTTGAGAGACCACGAAAAAAAATTAAGAAAATCTGACACTTAAGTATTTGTAGTTACCGAACTGCAGAACAAGGAAAACAAGGAAAGAGGGAAACCATTTCCAAAGTGAAGCGTATGGGGACAACCCCCCCACATATATATTTATGAAATCATAATTTAAACAATTTTTAAAGCATGGCAGATGTCAACAAATTTTCAATACGAGAAAAATACTTATACTAATTACAAATGCTTTGTTATTGCTATTGTCGTTGCTTACTCAGGTTGCAGGAGACGCGTAATTACATATATCAAAAACGACGATGACAATCACAAATTCGGTTGAATTCTTTTTTAAATATTTGGCTTTGAAAATGTCACTCAAAACTCACCATTCGAACCCTGCAGTAAAAATCTAAATTAGTATGAAGAAATACTAATTAAATACTAGTATTTCAAAGATGAGAACATACCAGTTCGCTGTTAATTCGCGAACTACAAGTGATGGGGAAAACAACAGTACTCACCACAGGTACATGGTTAATAATATGTTAATTGTAAGGACACCATTGGTGAGCGGAATATTTTCAAACTCTAAGCGAGTTGTTGAGTTTTGCTTGTTTATTTTTTTGTTTATTTTTACTTCAGCGAAGTAGAAACTCAACATACATGAATGAACTAGTATTTAACTAGTTTGAAACGAATGCAAAGTTGGGTAATTGATATTTCGTAGTTCCTCGCTATGTTGAAAACACCTGTGCTTATAATGGGAAAATTATAGAGGGTGAACTAGTTATCTGTATAAGTGCAGACTAGTTGGATACTAGTTAATAAATAGCACCTTTCGCTGCGAATACCTGCGCGTGTTGTGCTGTATGTTTGTGTTACGTTCTTACAAAAACTTTGTCACACAGTACACAGAAACTTTTATGGCACTCAACGTCAATTCTTTTTAACAAAATTTAACAATGTCATCGCGCGATCTGGCATTTGTAAAGCTCCATACATACACTTTTCAACTTTACGAGCACATACACACACACACACATGTCCACATTGGAGATTGAAATAACAGTTAGTTGCGTTAGAGTACTGGCAGTAGCAACATTTTGTGGTAGCTCACTGAGTAGGCAGGCTTGTCATCCTCTCGATTGGTAAGTTTTAAAGTGACATTCCGGTTGTTTTGTTGACAATTTTACCATTGATTCACTGACAATGTGTATGAATTTGGCGGGCTAATGTTTGTTGAGCTTATTCCAAGTGTTTATTTTTTAATTTTCATTTATTCACTTTTTCATGGACATTTTTGCGGTGACGGAATGTTTGGTTTGAGTGAATTCGTGACTTTTGTGTATGGTACGGTATTAATTATATTCACTTTAAATTTCGGCCATTAGTAAATTGGTTTAAGGCTTCTCTCCAATATTCGATGAGTGTTTGGTTTCACGCGTATGTTTGATAATCAAAACTGTAAAGAGATAGAATCACAACTTTGAGATATTTTTTTAAGAACTTCAAATCAATGCACTCCCACTAAATGTAGGTAGTTTCATAATTAGGGTGCAAAGCATATTGGAGAAAGTAATTTGTTGCCTTCATCTAGGCGCTTAGTGCAAAACTTAGCAAAGACACACACCGCTTCGCATAACGCGAAGGATATCATCGTTGGAAAAAAATTCAATTTGTTTTTGTTTTTAGCTTCATAGTACCCATCCCATATATTTTTACTTGAATAAATATTTCCTTAAATTTTATTAGTTCATTCCACAAATTTTATTCATTTTGATAATTTACATTTTTCCATCATTCGACATAATTTGGCGTTTTATTATTGAGTGTAGTCATTAGATCTCTTTCTTGAATTTCTCTGAGTCGTTTTTTAAATTCCCATTGTGACCATTCATCGGCCGGTTGCACAAAATAGCCCACATCCTTCTCTTTTGATTCATCTTCGATAATCGAGAATTTATTCTTCACCTCTATCTCTTCTTGCGTCTCCATAATGCCGTGCAATTTTCTTCTTCTCACCTGTTCGAGCAGCTCCAAACGTTTGGCCTCAATTTGTTTCGCGAAATGTTCTTCTATCGTCTGCAGCAGGCTGCTGCTAGAGTTCGTGTCTTTTGGACTCTTGTCTAAATCAAAAATATTTTGTGTTTTATTTGGTTTTTGTAGCGGTTGCTCTATAGAGAAGTCTAGATCTTTGTTAAGCACTATTTTGGTTAAATTATTTTTGAAAACAGTATTATTATTTAAATTTTCTTTAGATTCTAAAACAGCACCGCCACCGCCCTCTCGTGCTTGCTCACGGAATGGAAAGGATGTTTTCAGAAGTGTTTCCAAGTTCTTGTAAATGCTCGGCCAATTAGTGTTAAGATTTGTAGGTAGACTAAAACGGATTTTCTTCAGTGGACTCGATTCTGCGACATCTATTGAGCTTTTTCCGCTTTGTTTGCTTGCATTATGCTTTGGGCTCTTTGATGAAGGCGTGTTGGTTTTGAGCTTGCTGCGCTTGTGCTTCGATTTTCCTTCGTTGTTGGTAGACGAATTTTGTGTAGTTGAATTTGTGCTCGAACCCTGAATGAATGGAAAGCCAAAGACAAGTTGTTAATTAAAATTTTAGAGAAACAAGTTTTGCTTCAACTGTGAAGTGTAAAGTATAATATCAGGTAGAGTCATTAACTCACCCATTTCTTGCGGCTTGATGAAGGAATTCGGTTGTCTGTATTCAGCTTTGATATTTCATAAGCCTTTTTAATCTCCTTCTCCAGCAACAGCTCTCCGAAGGAACTCGAAATTAATTTTGGCTTCGATTTTTTCTTTTTAAGCACTGGTTTCGAAGCCTCTTTACCAGTGAAGACTTTTGATTGAATGTGCTTATCTTTAAAATTGGTATTTATTTGACTGGCAGGTGCAACACTCTCCGCTGATTTTTTCCCACTCTGAACTACCGGTTTTTGAGTAATCCTTTCCTTTCGTATACCGCTAGAGACTTTTGGTCGTACGTGTTGATAGTTATTACGATTTATTTTCAACTTATTTTTATCTTCCGCTTTATTTGCCTCCACACCGCCATGACATCTGAAATCAACATCCGTACCGGGCTTTGAAACCATCTTACTTGTTGGCTGCGCGGTTTCGGTTAAAGACTTAGCTAACTCGGTGCGCGCATCCGAGCCGTTTTGTAAGCCCTTGGTTTCCCTCTTGGCGGATTCACCAAAAACCGCATGTTTACTGTCATCTAATGTAACCCTGGAATTGTAAATGACAAAGCCTTTCTTGGGCTCCGATACTGGCTTGACAAAATTCATATATCTCTCAATCATAATACGTTGTTCGGCCAAGTCTTTTATAGCCGTCTTGCCACTTTTCATAATTTCCGTGCCATAGAGACGAAACCAATTGTTGACCATGGCTTCTACGTAGCTGACGATTGCCTCCTTTACTGGTTCGGCAGTTTCATCGAGTCTGGATTTCAGTGGTTTCATTATTTCGGCATCTATGAAAATTGCGAATTAAAATGATTAAATAACTAGAGAAATTTACTTGCTGTTTGTGGTTTCATGTCTGCCCAACTGGCACGCCTTGTCCCTGGGGTGTTGCTCTCATCAAAACGTGTGTTTTCGTTACCAAATGTTTGAATATCCTGACTTCTATCGACTTCGGTCACATTATCTTCTTCTAAGATGGAGTATACATCTGTCGTACGCCGCTCTGTCAACCCATCCCAAGGATTACTATGCTGTTTGGTGCGTGACATTATTTTTGGTGGTCGATCGCAAGCTCGCGTGTCAGTGAACTACAAAGAAAATAATCGAGGAAAATGAGAAGAATGGAAAAAAAAACAAAACAAAATAAAGTAAAACGAAATAAAAGTAAAATAAAATAATTAAATTAAAATAAAAAAATAAAAGAATAAAAAAATAGTAATGCTAAAAAAAATTAAATAAAACAAAACAAAAAAAAAACTCAAAAAATTTAAAATAAATAAAAATAAAATGAAATAAATTAAAATAAAGTAAATAAATAAAAAAGAAATAAATAGAAAAATAAAATAACAAAATGAAACAAAATAATATAAAATTAAGTAAAATAAAATGAAATAAAAATATAAAACAAAATAAACAAGATAAAAAAATAAAATCAACCAAAAAAAAAAATGAAATAAAATAAAATAAAATAAAAGACAAACAATTAAAAAGATAATGTAACACAAAATTAAATAAAATAAAATAAAATAAAATAAAATAAAATAAAATAAAATAAAATAAAATAAAATAAAATAAAATAAAATAAAATAAAATAAAATAAAACAAACTAAAATAAAACGAAATGGAATAAAATGAAACAAAATAAAGTAAGTTTAAATTAAATTAATTGAAATAAAATAACAAAAATAAACTAATAAAATAACATAAAATGAAACAAAATAACATAAAACAAAATGAAATGGGTTAAAATAAAATAAAATGAAACAACTTAAAAAAATTTTATGCAATGAAATATAATAAAATCAAATAAGTAGATTTATCGTTTCGGTGAAAAAATTCACCGTTTGTATCAAATTGCAATAGAGAGTCTGCGCCAATTTCTCGGGATATGGTATTAATATATGTATGTCGCCACCACAAGTCGATCGCACTGTCATATCAGGGAAAATGGTTATATTCGTCACGATATTGGTGCGTGTATTGAGAAAATTGATTAGCAAGCGATGTTCCATTTCAACAGCTACGAGTATGTGCAGCATCCGATTGTAAATATAACGTATAGCATATTTGGGAAAATGATTCCAACCCTCTGGCATATAAATATCACCCGTTTCATTTTCGGAATATGTACGCTAAAAAGATGAAAAATCTGTTAGACTCTCAGTATTTATTGTAAAATATACAACTGTCTACATCATCGCCAAGCCCCAAACAACGGAAGCCATTCTTCATGAGTATATAATGGGTGAAGGCTATCACTAGGTCAGACTTGCGTTTGACACTGCCAAATAGCTGCAGATAGAATTCTCGCCAATCATCGAAACATTTCTTTTTCTCGCTCTCTCTACGTTCATCCTTCTCCTTTTGGGCATTTTCATGCACTTCCCTTTGTGTTGACTGCATTTCGTTCTGGGTTTCAGTTGCATTAACAGCCGAAGCTTTTCTCGAATTTCTTTCTTTCTGCAGCGTTACATCATTAGATATTCTACTCTTCGTTTTACTGTTAGTAAATGCATGCGGTGAATCTGAAGTCCGCGAATTTCGTCTACTTTCCCTCGATGTCCTTGGTAAAGTTGTTGTTGGAAGTTTTCGGGACATGTTTTTATTTCCAATTCTGTTGATTTGATTTAATAGATTTTTTTTTGCAAATTGATGCGTTTTTTTTTTAATTTTGAAATTTTTATGTGCGAAAATAGTGATGAAACTAAAAAATTTTGATTGTGATAGAATAATTGAGTTTTTTTGTCAACTTTATTTTTGTAATTTGAATTATGACATGAAAATTTTTTTAAGAATGTTGGAGGAGAGAAAAGCAGTAAAAGATTTTCGTTTTATTACATTTATTCAAAAATGCAGGGTTTCAAAATATTTACTACCAAAATTTATGGAAACGTAAAGTTTAAAGCCAGTGGAGGGTCTTAAGCACCAATCATTCGATATTTTTGAGTTCGCACACGATACGTAGAGCTCAAAAAATGCCAGCTTATGGATTTTGGTGCTACGAGAGCATCATTAGATTCTGGTTTTGCTGAAATCGATAAGCACCATCGAGAGAATCGACTCGTACTCAGACCATTGATCGGCTTCTATGCAATCCATTGTTGGTTGTTTATAGAGTGGAGTAGTACATTTACTGTAAACGAAGCTCTAATTGTCTGATTGATGATTTGGTAATGAGCTTTCTTCTACATACAGAACTCTGACTCTCTTGTTTGACATACTTTGAGGAAGAGAATGCAACTCTTATGACAGCTGTGTCTGAAAAGAGCTGATTTGGAGGGAACTAGGAGGCTAGATTGGCTTTGGGTCGAAGCTGTACTGATATGTAACTGGGTATACATGGTCTTTGATACTCACTAGTTGCTATAGAGAAAGCTGTATTGAGCTACGTTTTGAAGTTTTTAGCCGGCGCGCTGTGTACCGTTTTTTCAGATATCCTGTACACAATAGATATGTGAGAAAACAATCTCATTGAGAAACGAAATATTCAGTAACTCTCTCAAAGTTATAGTTTCTACTTCATTCACGGCAGGTCGCTCACGGATTTCCTTTAAGAAACCGAAATGAATCATTCCCCGAAGTGCCGCAGCTTTAACTTTATACAGCCGCAAACAGCTGCTTTATGGCAATATAAAGTTGTAAATCTGATTAGTGAGGATATTTTCACTCGCCACCATGTAACCAACAATAAAACTCAGCCAAGCGTAAGGTGCTTGCAACATGCCACTTTCACTTTTCGAGTCTGTTATTTACACTTGCCGCCCAGCAAAGTTGTACAAAGTATTATATGGAATGCGAATGGAAACCATATACATATGTATTGCATGTGTGACATAACTATGGCAGTTCTGCTTTGCACAATTATGTCAGCTGCTAAGTGCAGGCGCTGAGAAAATTTAATTGCGAGCAAAGCCCACACGCGATTCTCACAGCATACATGTGCCTGCGGAGGATTGATATGAAATATACACATATATATATATATATAGTTGCACAAGTAACTATACGAGGGGATTAACAAAAGTTTGGTCAGTTTTTGACTGTCAATTTGTTTTTGTTAAATCTAATAAATCCTTTGAAATTACTTTATTAGTCTTCCTTTCAAAATTGAGAACGATCGGCTTACATAGAGACGAGCAAACGCAAGATAGCTGAGGAGAGGTCAGACGAAATTCCACAACCAATGCAGACAGAAATTTGCCATTTTAATCTCTTTGGGTTTCGCCGTAATTTACAGCCAATAAAAATATTCAGTTAATGCCAAATTGCATATGGCCTCTGGAGGCTATTTCTAAGCGGTTGCAGAAGATTCCAGACCGAAAGTTTTTGCGTTTTCTTTCATTGCTGACATAACTGTAGCTATGGTAAAGTCCGAAATTGACGATTCATATAAGAAATCATTGCTAAGGAATTGGGCTTGAATGCCATGGCTGCAACACGAATGCTCGTATTAAGTATTAGTCTGGCATACACGAATAAATCTGCTCGTTGGGTGGACGAATTTTAAATGAGGCCCAAAAATTTTTTGCTCAATTTTTTCTAAACAAATTCGAAAATGGTCAGTCTAGCAACTTTAGCAAAGTCGACACTGGGAACGAATCTTGGTTCAGAAAGCACAAACCGACTACTTTTAAGCCACCTAAGGTAAAGGGCGTGGAGCTCACCTTCTCTATCGGGATAAAGTATCTCGGTACAATCTTGGAAAGCAAGCTCTAACTGGAGGCGAAACGCGGCTGAACGGTCAAGGAAAGCTATAACTGCACCTTACGCCTGCAAAACGGCGATTGGGAAAAGATGGGGTCTACAACCAGGTATTATGTACTGGATTTATACGATTGGCTGCTATCTTGGTAACAGGAGCACTTCCATCAACTCCCTTGAAAGCCCTGTCAACTTTTCTCAACATTCTTCCTCTGGACCTATAATGAGAAACTACAAGCGGACTGCAATACAATCAGACTAAATACTGCTCAACTTGGGAAGAATTGCACTATGGGACAAACCAAAATATTATCTCTAGCTCCAAAGGAGCTAAACTACATACCTTATATATTTGCTTAGAAAATCGTTTCTCCACGAGTATCCCAAACATTTGCAAGTAGGAAACCACCATCGCCCCCGAAACGGAAGCCATAGCCATCTTCACAGATGGCTCGAAGCTTGATGGAAGGGTGGGTTGCGAATTTTATTCTCCCGTGCTTTCAGTAAGCATGAGCATGAGAATACCGCATCACTGCAGCGCTTTGCAGGCGGAACTCTTCGCAATCATGGAGGCCACAGAGTGATTGCACAAATCTACGGCAGCAGGACAATCGGTTACAACATATTCCGACAGTCAAGCTGCCATCAGATCTTTACACTGTAACGGTAACACGTTAATATTGGCCATAAGATGTAGAAATTAAAAAAAGTCGTTGCCTGGGTACCCGGGTACAGAGACATCTCATGCATGCAATTCTTCTACGTACCATAAAACATGCACACCTCTGTCCACGCAAAGTACATATTTTTAAACTGGTCTTTGCCCGGAAAGATGACTCAAGGTGGCTGAACGAGATAAAGTGCAACGTGACCAGACAGCTATGCCTCAAGTTGGACGCGAAAAAATCAAAACATCTTATCTTTCTAGACCGGTTCGGCATTAGCATAACGACGGGCATTATAACTGGACACTGTTTAATGGGGCTTCACCGGAAAAGAATGGGCTATCAGTCTAATGACATTTGCCGCAGCTGCAGGCACGAAGAAGGGGAGGAGGCATGAGGTACTCTACCTCTGCCAGTGTCCAGCCTTAACATCTGCGCGACACAAGTTAGTTGGAATAATTTTCTTGGACCATTTTGCTGAGTTAGCCTCAGCCAATGTGGGAAATCTCGTTGCCTTTATAAGGCACACGAAATGGTTCGATCGTTTGAGAAGGGAAAGGCAGGAGCCTCAGCGGTATCACAATGAGCCTATTGGCATAAGTGTGCTGGGGTTGACCAGCAGCCGCATAAACTCAACTCAACTTAACCAAATAGCAGTCCACGGTATTGAGGTCAACAGGCGCAAGCCCGCAACAAAAATCAGTAGCAAAAGTAAAACGGAAATGTCTTTTATGTCAGAAGTGGATCTATAGGCTTAAGAAATGCATTCAAATCAATGGCGATTATGTAGAGAAGATAGAAAAGGACAAAGATTACGAACATATAAAAAATGATTTTTTTCCTGGTCAACTTAGCGAACTTTTGTTAATGCCCTCGTACAGATGTATGTATGTATGTATGACAGAACGTGCTAATAAATAATAAACTTACATAAGCACGTATGCATGTGAGTGTGTAGTTGTTGGTAATAAATAGTGTTGGCGCCTTTGTTTCGAAACTTATTGCTGCTGCTGCTGCTGCTGCTGCTGCTTATGATCAATGCAAAGCAAAGGAGTAGTTCTGTATGTGTACATAGATATATTGTCCATACATACGTGCGTGCGTGTGTGTGTGTGTGTGTGTGGGTGTATAAAAAGTTTAGCAGTCTATCAAACACCAGCATACCACACACCGCTCGCTGTTGCTTGCCACTTGACAACTTAAGCAGATGAATGTCATTTTGCATGGCAGTAAATTACTTTGGCGTAAGTTTTCTAAAGTTTCAACTACATAAACACACAAACACACACACAAACACGCACGCACAGCCACACATACCAAACAAAATCTTATGCATTAGTTTCCATAGCAATAAATAAACATATATACATAAATATGATATATATTTATTTATTTGTGCAGTTAGCGGTCGTGTGTGTTACGTAATGAGTGCGATTGTGATTTAAAGTGTTGATAAAGCGCTTGTATACACGTATGTGACCATATAAGTGGGTGTGAACGTGTTCGTGTGTGTGGGTGCGCATACTTAATATTTTGTTGTTGCTCCTGGCAGCGGTTAAGTTCGAGCAACATATTTTTAGAGAAACTATTTTAATGACGTTTTTGAAAAATGGCCAAGAAGAATTTAAGCGCAATTACTTTCATGTTTACATTTATTTCCTTTCAAAGTACCAAATCGCTTGCCACTTGAACTTGTGAAAATTTCAAAAATTCTTTTGAAATAAATGGCTTCAAAAGCAAGATTAACGGCTGCATAGAATTTGGTTTTTATAGTCGAAAGCGACTGCCTATTTCCCATCTTTCCAGCAATTTTTGAATGCCAGCTCTAACAGTGAGTGCCCTCTGTCCTCCATCCAATCATTGCGCCACGCTTCGAAATTCTCAAACCACTGGCTCGAACTGATGACCTCAATCGTTTTGCATCCGCCGAAAAAGCCAGTAGTTGGAAGGAGTGTCAAGTCTGTAGAATACGGCGGATGAGGTAAGAACTACCGTCATGCTGTATAATCACCTTGTAGTGCATTTCAATCGTTTCGTGCAATCCATAGCTCGAAGGCATAAGTTGTAATCGATAACGTTTCATCTGGTTCTAACAGCTCAAAGTACACCACGCCCGTCTTAGTCTTCGACACTAAAATCACCACTTTTGAAGCGTGGAATCCACTCTAAGCATGACTTATTGCTCCTTAAAGATTCGACATAAAATTTCACAAGCTTTCTATGGGCTGTTGCTTGTGCAAGTGTTCATATAAAGCAATGTCCTATCAGGAACTCAACACAGAGAATCATACACAC